GGAATAGTACAACAATTCAATAAACTGGATTTGAAACAGTGATAAGGCTGAATTTTACGCGACGGCAATAATACGTATAACTGGGGATACTGCAGCTTGCGCCCAGAACTTTAATCTCGACCAAGAAGGTGAACGCGGCTGAAGTGAGATTAAAAAAAATTGCTTTAGTATATATACTCAATAAGGACCATGTGCAAGAAGTGGGTAAATAATATGATGGGTCTAGATGTTCATTGGTAAAGCAAGCAGATACTCTACATTTGCCACTGTATAGTGGGCAATTAGCGCAATTCGATTCCATACAGGTCTGCTAGAGTCAACCGTACAGCCTTGATAATAATAATAATAATAATAATGATACTTGGATTTACTTTAGTTTATGGAGGTGCTTGACTCTCGGCAGCGAATTGTTCCAGTTTCTTGCATCGTCAGACAGCCCATATTCACAACGATCTAATTATTGTAGCAGAACAAATCTTGCTCTCCGTCCCCCTGTCTACCATCACCCCTTAGTACCCCCGACCGACTATCGCTGCAACTGTTTTTGCCCAAAGCAGCCACTCACCTGTATAAATACGTTTGTAAAACCGTGTGCTTTTGGCCAGGCCTAAAGAAGCCAGCCAAGGCCGAAACCGACAAGGGGTTCCCGAGTGTCTGAAGGCGCTCGATGTCCCCTTGCCTTTGCCCAACGAAATTCGGCGTTGGAATAGGAAGGCAATTTCCGACATTTTTATGACGCCATTCACAATTCTGCTTAAATAACCGGGGCAGCCTGCCGACAGTGATGGCGGCCCGTTAGACTGGCGACACCGCTTTGTATGGACAGACAGACAAACAGACATAATTGTACCGGGGTTCCCGAAAGGGTTGAGAGCGGGGCGACGAAGGACGGAAGTATAACACTAGCGCTAACGTCTTTAATGGCCTGAACTCGGCAGTGGAGCACTGTCTATTATAGTGAATCGCACTTTACGCGTATAACGATGACTATTCACACGGGAAGGTAGCCGGTGACTCAAAAGAGGCTAGAGCTGGGTCATCAGGAAGGGGTCTGTTCGTGCAACGGTCTACCGGTGCCCCTATATCCTGCTGTAAGTAGCCTTTAACACTATCATTCTAATATATTTCTATAAATATGGTATGGGTTGCGGGTGAAGATACAAGGGCCTTTGAAACGCTGTTTGAATGAGCGATAGTCGCTCTATAAAATGATTGAGTGAACTCGTTAGCGGAGAATGAAGATTGTCTAAGATGTTAGTGAGATTAAGGCGTTTTGAGATTCTTCATCGCGATCACCGTGTAGATATTTATGAAAAACTATAATGTAAATAAAACGTAAATAGTGTACTATGTTCTATATAGCGTTTCCTTAAAATACATCGAAAAATCTTTAACCAGAAAAAGGATTCCATGCCTTAATCTGCATAACGTCAAGTACATATTATGCCACGTATATGTACATATATATTAGAGAACGAATATCTGGGAGTAGCTGAAGGTCGAATTGTATATCGCGCTCCATGGTGCCAAGTTCAGCACCAGTACGTGGACGCAGAATCTCACACTGCACCAGCGAATAGCCAACAGTTTACAACGGGCTCTGAGGCCGTTACACCGTGTTGCTTCTTGCAGCTGCACAGCTAAACCGATGTAGTCGGAAGGCCGATGATTGCCCCACGGTCCATCTGCTCTCTGGGGTAGATAATTCCCGATAAGCTAGGATAAGACCCATACACAAGCATACACACAAAGGTTACCGCACGTCCACACTGCTCTGTAAGTGACTAGCCACGCAGATGACAATTTGTCAACGCTGAGTTCAATCAAAGCTGTTGTTGACCCAGTACCAAGTTTGTCACCTAATGCCAAGACCGACTTGAGGCAACAGCTTGAAGACCGCCAGGCTTCATTCAGTAAGACATTGTTTTGACGGGGCGTATTTCATAAAGATGATTCAGCCAGCGGCGATCGCATGTAATGACCATATATAAGCTGACTCTCTGATTATGACTACGTGTCTTTTTTGTTCTGAAAGGGTATGCCTTGCTTTCGGCCTCGCACAGCGACATGATTCAATAATTTTTCCCTCACGCAGATCATGACCGATTATGCTTTGAGCTATCTGTAGACAGTACGTAACGTTTATGATCGACGTATTATTGTTTGTACCTTAAATGGTTAGAGAAGCATGCAAAGCTGAAGCGCTTCCTCACTTCCTATGTTATCACCGTTTTCATGGTGAAATAGCTTTTTCTACAATAGCTTTCGTACGATATGCCCTACGCCTAAACAAGTTCAATAGCTAGAAGTTCGATATCAGACGAAAGACAAGAATATAAGTTTACACAAGGTAAAGTTCAGCGTAGAACAGCAAATCTGATCTTAGCGCATACCGAAGTAACGAAGACATCGCCGTTTATTTACAGCGTGAACATCTTACGTAGCAAAAACGAAATGGTGGAATAATTTCGCTTTGATTTACAGCTCAGATATGTTAAACCTGCACGAAGTTGCGTGCCTCCTCTAAAACAGGGCACGGTCAATTGGATACAATGTTTTACGCTCCGATCTGTCATGATCGTGTCTGAAGTAAGCCGAAGCCATGGAGTCCAGTCGAGTGACAATGTCGTTACATTAATTTGCATTTCCAAGACGGCAACTAATGAATTACGGTTCTCTATTGCTGTGATGAAATATTGGCACGTTACTTAATTCAACTGAGCCATAGACAAAGCACCAACAATTTCCAGCTAATTTCTAAGCCCAGACATTTTAGATAAAGACGCAGAGAGGTCACTGTTTATCTGCGAAGCCCATATTTGTTATAGCAACAATTGCGCTTCGCAAGAGTCCCGCTTGGTTAGACCGATTTTTTACATTTGAGTAGACACGATTTTATTATTGCGGCATAACTAACCAGTAGAACGATAGCAGTTCTTTTATTAATGGTTCCGATCACTTTATTGGCATGATATTATCCAATAAATCTGTTCACCGTAGTCTGTTATGTGTACTTGAATCTGGGCAGTCCAGCTATTGGGTAAGCAGACGATTTTCATTTTCAGTGGTCGACTTTTCTGCCATCTGAAGTCATTGATTAATAATACTCAAAAATCAATGGAAGCATTGACAAGTTTAGCCCGTTCACGCTGAAGCAACAATGTCCATTCATCGATTTGACGAACTCAATGAAGCTGCATATAATTAAGATAATAAGTCTAAAAAGAATACCGAGTTAAACCGGTGTTAATCTACGCTTACAATACAATGCTTCGATCCTACGAACTCTGATGGCCCGGAAAAAAGCTTTTTCTCTTTGTCAAGCTTGTCTCTTTGTCTTTGTTATGCAATAAATGACAATAATAAATATAACATCAATATAAATAAAAAATTATACTAACTAGAGTAATAACATTATTTTAATCTACAACTATACATCCTGAAAACTGTCGGTCGAAACATAGTTTGACGCTACAAGTTCTCGTTTTTTGAACGAGCTTTACAGGTCAGCACCGTCGTGACGAGTCAGCTGGCGTCGCCAACGATAAGTCTATTCTGTTGGTGATGCAACTGGAATGTAGAAATCCTTACTGACAAGGTACTCCAGCACAACAGCCAGTGACACGAAGAAGTCATCCTCGAGCGATCAGTCTAGTCTCGCTGGCAGAGTAGACCGTAAACACAGTGGAGCGGGAATGGAAACCCGCTTGCTGGCACCTGGCTGTAGGATTTGCGTTCAACGTCGTCTTGTTGTTGTGGTCTGATAGGATCGGCTCCAAAATAGGGCTGTTGGTATTCCCATCAATCTCATAGAGTTCGAGCCGCTTTCGACGCCATTTCGGAAAGGGCTTTGCCATCTCGGCGGGAGAGGCTCGTAAGCGCAACGATCATTCCGAACGTACTTTACCACCGGTGTTTCATTTAAGCATCAACTAAATGAGACTGAAGGTTCAGCGTCTTAATTCAATCGGCAAAAGTTTTTGAGATCTTCCGTCGCAAACATTAGATGACCCTTTACGTGAGAAGGGTCAGAGGTTTGAGGTTAATAGGTGCATAAGGTTAACCTAAAGGTTCATGTGCTCCTGGAAATATTCCGTGCAAACGACTTCAACACAGTGGTAAGGATGTCAGCGATTTATATACATATTAAAAAAGAATCCCAAACCCAAAAAGTTCGATGAAATGCTAAGATACATTTCCTTTTAGTCCAATGTTAGGCGCTGACTACAGTTGCACGGAATTAGCTTCAGCATCTTAAAACTATATATATACGAGTAAAATCCAGTTTATATTTCTGCAGTTATTTATTTTTTTAGCTGAAAATTATCGAATATCGAGGTTCCTCAATATAAAGCAGTCGTCTAGAGATTTTTAGAGTGCAGCTTTGGCCATTGTCTGAAAGTATACTGTTAGACTATATTGCCCGCTTTGTTCTATTGGTATTGTATATATGAAAGCGTATCATAGGGGTACAAGATAAAGTCCGCTAACAGCTGTATAGTAAAAAAAAAAGCAGCTAGGTACCAATTAAATATTCATCTTTCTGTACGCTCACCTATCGCTTTGGGTTTAAAGATTTTCATTAATGGCTGTCTGCTTTCACGGCCTCTCTAAGAAAATTCAAATATAACCCTGATGTGAAGGAACAGTATTGGTATGGAACGTACTATTCAACGAAATATCTCAGTGCATGATTGGTGTTTATTTAAGGTAATTCATTATTTTCTTAAAATAAAGTTGAAAAGTCTAGCTAATCAAGTCAAAAGGATACAATACAACGTTATAACTAGTAAATTTAAACCCACATTAATTTCAAGCAATAGGCCCAGACTGTCACGGTTATGTTGACGGGTAACGTCCCATAAATACACCCCATTCTAGTTCTTAATATGCAGGATTTATATGCATCCAAAGCTCGTAAATATTAAACGGACGCGAAACTTGATGGTGGATCTAAAACTCACTCAACGAATAAACTCGCACTGAAAGCAGACGCTTTCACAACGGTTTACTGTGTTTATTTACGTTTCTGCCCTTCCTCTCTATTGGCTTTCCTAGCGTGCGCTGAATGGAGCACCGTCCCCAAAGTAAAATTTCAAGCTAATCCAAATATCGCGCCAATTGTCCGCCATTTCAGTTGTCTAACGTTGTTTGCTTTAATCATCGTCTCACTTGGCCAGCGATAGTGCGATTCTCCGTGAAGCTGACCCCGTGTCCACACATGACTTAACTCGAAGCTCTAAAGTAAAGCGTCCCCTAGATGAACATCCTTCGCCGGGTTCTCGATTGGTTCTAAAGCTTTTGTCAAGACTAAAGACAGAGGCAGTAAATAGGGAAAATGCTAGTGGCAGAGTGGCGAAACAATATGGCCACAGCACAGCAAGGCGAGGCGAAGACCAGAACGAACGAAACGATTTTCAATTCCCGTCCAAATAGACATGAATCACATCTAAGCTGTAAGAAAGACAGCGTATCGGGTCAGACGACGGGAAAGGTGGCTGCACTGACCGGAGGCCTGATTTTAGGCATTGCCCTGGAGAGCAATCTGAATAGCAGTGTAAATTTATAAAGCAAATTATAGATGCTTAGCTATTTACTCTATTTAGAAAGAACGATGAACTCATAAAGTCAGTATAATTATTATAAGGGCTATTGGATTCCATTTGAAATCTAATCAATTTAGATCTCTTAGAACTATTCGTGTGCGTCGCAATGTACAACGAAGCAGTCGGATTTGTCTTCTCAATTGAAAAAGAGAAGTGAAGATAGTGATTCTGTGATTTAGACATGAAATAACATTATGTTTATCACACTTATTAAAGAGCCGTCCTAAAATAATTATGTTACGGTTACGCGACATAATACGAAGCGTTCTCGTCCATATACAGTACGAGTGCATGCTTTTTGTTTGATTCATATTTTTTTTTTTAAATTTTTTTTTACTAGATTTTCAATTGGGAAATCAATTACACTTTTTTTTTCTTTTTGAGGTTCCGTAGGGAACGTAGTGGTATGCAAACAAGATTAACTCAAACACTCAGCAATAATACACAATACTCTCGTAATACTATATGCCCAACGCTCGTAGACTGTTGGTAAATGTCCATGTTTTACGGGAAATTTAGTTGACTATCATTCAACCTAACGATTGCACCAGCGAATGCAGGAAATTATAACATATGAATCCTTATTTAGATGATTTTAGAGTTTCGAGTCGCCGACTGCTCAAATAAGTTTCGGCAGTGTCCGCTTCTGGGAAAAAAGGATTTCGCTATATGTTTCCATTCATCCATTCAAAAAGGTCCTGTCCGGGAAAAAAGCCCTTCAACTTAAAACAATTTCGGCCAACTTTTTTTATGCTCCTTTTCAAATCCTTTCAAAGTTTAGTGGCTTGCTTCGGCTCCTATGGCATCGAGGTGTTGAGCACTTTTTCTAGAACTAGCCTCCCGCTGACCTGCTGCCTCCTTTAGGTAGAGGGGCTTTAACATCGTTGGTTGGTTGATCTAGAACCTTCCCTTTTCAACCAGTTCGTAATTCTCTTTAATCTTTACAGACGTAAATGCCAACGTAAGCCTGACGGCCGTAATACTCCTACAAATATAGGCAATCGGATTCGGCCTTTGCTTTGAGGAGAATACTTACTTAATGTATAAACTGTTGCAGGTCACTCGACTCACACCTAATTTTCGGCTTCTTTGTAGACTGCGACGAACACAATGTAGTAATAAAAGCTTTGAACTATAACCGAAGTTGGGGACTCGATCAGCGCGAGGCACGCACTGCTAATTACGCTACCATTGACGCTCATTGTGTAACAAAATAGCGTCTACGCTTGAACGCCCGAAACAAGTCTAGTCTAGTCCTCCCCAAATTGAAAGAAGTTCCCTAAACGTAACTAACATAATCAGAATTCTACTGCGAGATCGTATTACGAAAGTGTACTCTCCGAATAGAATTCTGGGTTTGCGAATCTTTTTTTCACACCGCACAGAGTTTCTCGTACAATCAACGATCAGCAAACAGCGTCGGATCTATATACGTGACCATGTCCGTTATCGCCACGGATTATACGATCCCTGTTGGATAGAAATAACGCCACCTTTATTTATAAACAATTCATCCTTAGTAAATAATCTAGCAGAGTACCAGGTGTCAGCAGGTAAATGTTCGATCTTTCTATAGCTAGATGACATCTTCAGCAGCACTAGAGCATCAAGGTTTGCTTCGAGAGCCGCTGACATGTTCAGCTCAAATTTTAGTATTGCTTTCACCCCTCGTCTTGAAAATGTTGCTTGGCTACTAGGTAAGGCGCTGTCTGAACGAAATCGTAACCCATATATTGCCAAGTCCATCTAACAGAAGATATGACCCTACAAATAGACTTTACTTTTGGCTGTTCCTTAAGATTAGCAGGGACCAAGGACAATTATCGTCACGGGCTACATTTGGTAGCTTACGTATTTGTTTCTATGTGAGTATTTTTTTCTATGTCGAAATGATCTACCTAATCATACCTACATACATACATACATACATACATGTTTGATATCCTAACGTTACTAAAAACGCGTTTCGGCAGTACTTTTTGACTGGTCGTGCTTTCCAGATAAGGCTAACAATTGACAAAGAAAAAAACAGTTCGTTAAACTGGCTGACCGCTTTTACGCTGGGCGTGCGGCAGAATAAATTAAGTATAGCAACGGAACATCAGACTTTCATTCCCGGACCAATATGGTACAAGATAGCTAAGGATGAATATGCCGTTCTCATGTAAAAGGGAGACAAACACATGTCTGTGATGGGTCACGACCAGTCTTTTGCAACAGCCAGTATGAGAAATACATTATTAACATTTTAGTATTGTGCGCATCGTGCATAGCCCTGAATTGTATCGAAGTTTAAAGAAAGTCATTCAACGGAAGCGTTATCGGCTCATACTAATAAGGACATATATATAATAAGGAATAATTAAGGACAAACTTATCGCAATTGCTTCCAGCTATAACTTGTCGAAGATATGGGGGTGAAATGCTCGATGCTGTTCATCGTAGTAGTCTAGGTTACGTAACCGGTACTTATACTTTTTCAGTTATTGAGTTCACTCGATCTGGCTACTGTAATTAACTGCTTTCGTCAAAAAAGAAAAAACAAAACAATTTGGAACAGCATAGTGAATAGGATATCGTAGACAATCATAGCTACAGATGGTCTAATGTCGTTTAAAAGACATAGGAAGATCGGCAATTTTACGTCAACCGAAACGTTATACAACAATTGAATAGCACACCATTATCAAAAGCCTTTAGGAGGACAACGTCTGCCTGAAGAAGGCAACGTTTGGCAAGCAAAACACAGGTTGCGAGAGGGAACGTCGTCAAATACCAAAGTCCTGAATTGATTACTATGGCTCACGGAGGCCATAGCGAAATTTTCCAAGCAACAGAGCTGGTGGGAAGAGCAGCAAACTTCAGCCTTAAGGGTAACTTCCTACTAATATAGTAAAGGCTTCCAGGTATGTACTCAAATATTCAATCGAAAATTGCACCTGTTGATATTATAAGTAGTACAAACAAATCTACATAACAATAGCAGTGCTCAAGTACTGCATGTAGCTCATGTTTATTTTTTTTTTGCACTATATACAATAGTGACTCCTGGCTTATAAGAAGTGGCTAAAATGAATAGCCTACCAACGATTGAATGTCAGGCACAACTTCACCAACTCATGATATTATGTAGGCATTGAAGGTATCGGTTCCGGTAAACAGAATCTTAGTTCTGAGCACAGAGAGAAAATGTCAATTGAATCTTAATCTGGTATTATATATAGCTGAATACGGTATTTTCAAATGAAAATAAGAGCACCATCGGCAAATCCTTGATCGAGCCAGGCAACACAGATATCAGGCAGTCATTTCTACATTAGCCGCGGATAAGTTCAAGCTGTCTCATTCTGGTGAGTCGTCCAATTGGCATGTAATGGCATAGAGTGCGGCTGAGATTGAGCCGAGATAAAAGAAAAAAAAAAAACTAATATTGGCCTGTTACAAGCGAATCCGGCGGACATTGAAATTCAATAGCTTTTCGACCACGGGCCGTTAGTAGACGAATTCCGATTGATGAATACTCTAGTCTTTTAGAAATTGTTGACAAAGAACGGTTGAGTTTACTTCAAAAGAGCAGAGTTTAGAAAAAAAAAAAAAGGAAAAAAACGTTTTTCAATCATGAACATCAACACCAGCAAGTTCAAGTTTTCGGTCCACGAAAGCGACAGCACTGCAAAAATTCGTCCAAGATTGGCAAGGAGGCCTTAAGTGAAAGCGCAGTACGTGAATGATGTAAACGTTTTTAGAACGGAGACTGATGTGTTGAAGGCCAGTGAAAAAAGTGACCAGCTGTCCAGCTGTAACCGAGGATTTTACGAACGCAGAGCTTGCAAAATCCTATTCTAAGGGATTTGCATGCCAAAACTGGCATTTCAGGTGCAACGTGTTATTGGAATCATAACCCACATACTGAAAATGCGGGAACTGACTAAAAATAAGTTCTCCGTGAATCGATCCTTAGGCTAGTTTGAAATGGGTGTGGTGTAATTTGCGGAACATCAGTAAACAAAAAACCCTCTCGAGCATACCGTCACCATAGACGAGGCATCGTTTAATCTCGGCCGTCAGCTAGACCAGGCGAAAAAATGGCGTCACTCTTTAGCAAAATCGAGTTCGTCGGCTGTGTTAAGTACATTCGGACGTAAGATTATGGTAACACTTGCAATAGACATTAGGGGCATCTGCTCTTTTGAGATACCTGCCGAAACTGAAGCAATGGATACGGTCCGCTGTCTCGGGTTCAAGAGACTCACGGACCGTTGACACGGCAATCGAAAGTACGCAGTCGAGTTACTTGATGCCCATGCCAGCCTCCATCACTATGCCTCATTTATTCACTGGATTGAGCAAAGGAATGTCCAACGTCGACTTCAACATGCTTATTCCCCTGATCCTTGGTCCGTGTGATTGCGGAGCGTTCCATGCCCTAAAATAGGTTACTGTTGGGCAGAAATATCGGTTTACTCCGAGAGGCCATAAAGAGAAATTACATTTGAGGACGGGAACTGTAGAAACTGCCGGAGCGTTAGAACAGGTTGGTGGAACGTAAGGTACTTTTAGAACATATTGAAAATTTCGTTCTAACCTGACGAGTTCAAAAGTCATGCGGTTTTAAAGTCAAGCGGATTCGCATGTAACAATCTAACAATTCTAAGAAACTGTAGGAGTCGCAGTGAATATCAGTCTTCGTATGTTAGTATTAAAAGTTTTAACATCTAGACTAGCAAGTTTGAATGGAGATCAGCGTTATCGTATACCCCCGCGGTAGCAAACACTCAGTATTGTCTGTTCAACCGTAAAAATTACGGTGTACTTTGTAAAACCAGCAAGCAAAATTAGCACCTATATTTCCAAGTAGGAATAAGTGGATCTATAGTGAGTTCATGTTGCCTTATCAAAAATTAATGTTACAACATGCGTGAAGTATGCGTAGAAGTTAAAAATAGCTTTAAAAATACTGGCCATTTGAGCTTTCCAAGGAAGTTTGACATGAGATATATTTTTGACAGTTGATTCGTTTTGTTTGTCTTAAGATTAGCGTTATTTTTAAATAGAGAAAAGAATGAATTTAGATTATACGAAATGTAATTGTTAAAATACTGACTAGTTTTCTTTGAAGCTTATAGCTTTTACCGTTTCGTGAAAAACAATTGTTATTTTTTTCAAGTACGCCATTTACTGAATACTACAGTTTTAGTAATGTCTTTAAAATGTATGGGCAGTTGCGCCGTTTTGCTGTTGCAACGTTTTCGGTTTCCGTAGCCATCAAAAACACTGCTTGATCTATCTGGAGGTGATACGGTCATCAGTTTCTACAATATCAATCAGTAGAACATCGGTTTCACTCGAAACGGGAGATTTTACGATATGCTGCATGCGTCTATGCTAGCCCGAATAATATTGACATATTTTAAAATGTCTAATTGAAAATTTTCGAATCAATCGACCTCAAGTATTGCGGGAAAAAAAAACATCAGCATCAGGTACTAGCTATAAGCTCTATCCATGGACTGGCATGGTGAACTTATGGACGCACATAATATTCAGATAAATCAAACAGAATACGTACTTTTGGTGTCTTATGTGCGGGTCTTCTGCGATGGGTTGTTCAACGATCGTTTCCGATGTTGGTTTAATAGCCGCTGTGACCAGAAGCCAGCCAGGTGAAGATGATGTCTTCTTACCTATAGCCGTTACGTAAATGCTACGTACAACTGCGTGACGCGTATGTATCACGAACATCAATGGAACAGGCGCAGGCTACCTTGTATGTCTCCAATGATAATGGCAATGGATCATCGGACTGCAACTATTTCATATAATAATAATTCACATATATAATTATGATGCGCAAAGTTCAACCCGTTATCGGGGAAGGAAGCTATTACGTGAAGATGTCATACCGAAATAGACTATCAGTCTTCCAATCAGTACGCCCCGGAGGAAACGACGTCGCAGCCGTTATCTGTGGTCTGTTTGACGATTTCGAGTGCATACTAACAGATTACCGTTTTTTCTGAAGTACATTCTAACACGGTTCGGAGTAATTAATTAGTTACATCCTGCATCAGCGGATACCGCCTCAACTTCAGTCTCGGTGTATTAAATTTTTCTCCAAATTTTAGCGGTGCTGCTGTCGTATGTTCCATTGATCAAAATTGCTACAGTCTATCAATGAGTAACACGTAAGCTATACCCATGTTACGTTACATTTGTCTTGATTTATTATATCTATAAACAACAGTGATTTAGAGATTGATAAATAGCAAACAATGATTGTTCACCAATAACTCGTATAAAAATGTTTTTATTTAAAAACGTTGCCACCCGATAATCCAGTGTATCCAGTAGATGTGCAAGCATAACTTATTCACGTTTAAAGAAAAACAGTTACAAAGTTCTCTGAAATAAAATTTTAGACATAGAAACGATTTGTCCAGGCAATGATGTATGATAATCGTCCTACTACCAAGCTAACCCCAAGTCATAAGTATCACCAGCCTTACACAGTATGTCAGATGTAACACACGTGTTCCCGTAGATTTTTCGAAAAACACCAGTAGAGGCTGCGTGTTCGATTATCAAGCGCTAAAACTTTGTTTTCGCTGCCTTGGAATCAGTATAGAAAATACTTTTTCATAAAGATGTAAAATAAATCAATAATGAGCAGTGACCCATAGCTAGTAGTAGAGTTTACGCACGGAAGCAGTACATGCAAAAAGGTAACAAAACGCTGAGCCGAGACGTTTGTATGAAACCAATAGGAATCAGTATGTCAAACATACTACTGCGACTGATCTCGTATTGGTGCAATTATGCGTATCTGCCTACTGAAGTTAGAGACCAGGTGATGCGGCCTAGGTTCGAAACCTGTTTCGAGGCACTCGGTTTGTTTCGCGCAAGACAAAATAGGCCGTATGAGACCGTTTCAGTCAATACAGCATCGCTGGACCGAAAAATTCAATATATTTAGTTTAACTAGATATTCGAATAAATGAAAGTTGGTTAAAATTTTGATGAACAAGAGCCGAGGAATAAATGTTGTGCTATCGAGATTAGAAACCTCGAAGCTCTGGTGTGCTGAGCAAGATTTCGTTTCGACTGCCGGCCTATGGCATGACGCATACTATTTGAGCTCATTACCCGACATATACCGTTGGGAAATATAATATGCTCTTAATTAAGTTAGTAAAAAAAACAATACTGTTACCGGAGCACGCCCGTTTGAAGCTATTCAGTGTCCTTGAATTTAAAATTAAGCATGTTATTATATGGATTATGCTAAAGGTTGTTCCACTACATGGGAAAATAGTACCTAGACATTATATGAACAAAGGCAAAGCTTTTCCCTCGGTCCCACTAAATAATGTCATTTTTCCATTCTATCATTAGCTGTCCTTACGCGTACACTGCTTCCGTAAGGAAAAGTTCCATACGGAGACTAACTCATCTTTAATGAAGTTGTACAGCAATCCTGTCTTAGGCCAAAGTCATTTACCGTCTCAAATCTCATCCCATCATTCGGATTGTGCGAGATGCATTTTAAGATTCCCGTTGTCTGGAATTAATCAGACGTAATGAGGCTTTTGCCTTCAAAATGGTTATATAATGCCTCTAACATGATAATATAGAAGATGATAATTAGTTACTGGAGAAGAAACACTCAATTAATGCAAGTTTATTATTGCGGATAATAAAACAACAACGCTGGATACGCATGAGCCTATTTGACTGAGAATGTGATAGGTTAAATGGAGATTTGTGGTTGGTATAATAGCAGTGAAGTGCAGTACAAAACAGCTTTGCCTATTAAGTTATTGCCTATTAACATGCCTATTAAGTTTCGTAAGCATTTGCAGTATTAGAATATTTACAAAATACCGAGAGGTCTTAGGAAGTGATATGGTTGGCCAGTTTCGACCTCCGAAGTTGATTGGGCCAGTGTGGTCTCAATGAAGCGTAACGTGAAGCGCTGAAACGGTACGTTAGGTCGACGCTGCACCTCTTTTCCAAAACAACCTCCACCCTTCAAATGATTTCTTTGATGAAGAAACATAACATTAGTGCTATGAAACTAACATTGAAGAATCTTCGCTCAGTCAATGAACTCATTAATCAGGTAGCACCCACAAATATGAATGCAACTCGCCGTCGGACAAGCCGACGTTTTCAGTTCCGAAAGTTAATTGAAAAAAACTGCGCTTTGTTGCTTCTGCGTAAGTTGTGTGTCTAGGGACTGCAATGCTCTCGAGAAGTTTGAAACAATATATTGAAAACACGTTTCTGCCAGCTGATATTAATCGAAATGATTGCGGTTGGCGCAGCGTCATCTTTCTAACTTTAAACCTATTGCATCGAGGCGTATTGTTCTTCTGAAGGCTTTTCAAGTTAACATTAGTATTAGTTGGTATAAAATGCAAGAAATGTTCAATTAAATTCGAAATACATTTGATTTATGACGTTAGGATAGCTAGTAGTCGAAGCCAGCTCCTAATATTAAGCCTATTATAATAAGCATCTAATATTAGGCGGCTTTCGACAACTAGTGAGTAATTAAAATGGCAGTACTCTATAATGGCGCAATACGGTTTTGCTATCGAAATGCACTTGTGTCTTTTCTAATTTGGGTACGCTTGCTTGGGTATTGAGATTCGACCTTTCTAGCAGAAGAGTTGCAGTCAATTCTAAGGGAAAGTCGAAAATGTTAGACTTAGGTTTGCAGACATGGGCTCCAGCTTGGAGCTATAGCACTGGACACAGGATGTGAACGATCTACTACGTAAAGCGTCGGTTCGAGCAGGAACTGTCGTGCAGGATACTTCGTGCAAAAGTGATCGACGAGCTGTGGTGGAAGCCGACTTATTTCAAGGCCTGCAGGTGTTAGCGGGCAGGTTTAATGTAAGTTTACCTCGACCAAATCATCAAAATACAGAAAAGTGTCACGTTATTTGAACGAGGATCAAAATGAAAGATAGAGGCGCTCGTCGTTGCGCGCTCCCACGTCCTAATTATGACCAGCCTATAGCTCTCCTACATTGAGTTGTGGCTTATGGTGAAAAATCACAAGGGTGTCACATCAGTAGGTAGATCCAATCCAACAGAATAGTTAAACTTGCGCAGTTAGCTGCTCGTGAGCTGGGTTATTATTGCTTACAGCGAAATATAATTAGCTTAGAAAAACTTAAGGAGAATCTGCCTATTTACGGTATGTACGGTCCTGGTCACGGGTGCAAGAAGCGATCCTCTCACGAGAGTGATTATAAAAAGTCATGGATCAAAAAAATAGGATCTTTCAGGCACCGCTCTGCTTCTGCAGGCATAACATTTCCAAATGCTAGTTAATGACATATCAAAGGAAATGTTTTAATTCGATATTATACGACAAACTTAAGTGCACACATATACTAAGCAAATGTGACGGACTTCGAAATTTAATTACTTTTGAAGTAGACGAAATTTGGTTGAGCAATCTTCTCGGAACTTTGAAAGTTAAACTTTAACATCGACATCCGGGTTATTCTAAACTTTGAATATGCAAAGTAAATGCATCTGTATGTGTTTTTCATTGCGTGGTCGCGGTAAAGCGTTACTTCAAGGTATCAATAACTGAATATTAATTTTATATTGATATTATCACAAAACTAAAGTCAGTACTTTCAATAAGGGAACTGATTGAGATAAACAGTCATTTTCGCGTCAACAGATTAGTCGAAATTGCTTATAGGGTTACTTAATGCTGATACGCAGCTAGGTATCATGTATATTGCGCTTGAAATTAAATGGAACTTTTGTTCAATTTGGGAAAAATAATATTACATTGTTAAGGGCGCGTCCCGCCGCTAGCAGACGAAATTTGAAGGGTAAATACTTTAGTCTTCTAAAAAACGATTGAAGAGGGTGACCATCGGAAAGGCTTTAGCCAAAGCGTATCGTGTGAATCGTACAAACGTTTTAAAAACACATTGCCGCATTCGAGGAGGCTTTCTACAGAAGCAGGCCGTATCGGCCAAAACTAGTATTTCATATATAACGAATTATGACCTAAATATTAAAACTAGAAAATTTAAGTTAGAAATAAGTCCCCCCCCCATAAGTGGACTCCAAGGCAGCTGGAAATGCGTGTGAATGTATTATATGTGTAATTTACGGAACGTGAATAAACAAAAAAAAACGTTTGGAATATACGGTCTCTGTTTATAAGGCAGAGGTTCAATCTTTACCGCCAGCCGGTGGAAGGCCAGGTGAAGGAGTGCCGTCGGCGTGGGTAAAGTTCGGTAGCAGTGTCGGGTAGGTTCGAACGTAAAATGATGATAATCTTGCAGTGAGCATCAGGGGCAGCTGCTACTACGAGATACCCGCCGAAAATGAAACAATAAATGCAATACGCTAAGTGAAGCTCCTCAGGAGATTCATGTATCGATACGCCAATCGAAAGTCTAGTTATTTAAGAACTTCACTGCTACGTTTGAATTACTTCTTGGATCAAACAAATGAGTATCAAAAATCGGCCTCAACCCACTTATTCTCCGAATACGTGTGGTTACAGGGCTTCTCATGCCAAAAAAAGGCAACCACTGGGAAAACATATCCTCATATAGAATTGAACAGACAGGAGAGAAATGAGCGATTTCATTGGGAGGCCAGACGAGTCTCACAACGAAGCACCGATATTGGGTTAGGCTTTATCCAATTGTCAAGGTGTTTTCCCTTCCGCATCATGGAGACAGTTAGCAACAATTATCTCATTATAGATATAAAGCTTTCTAGAATATCTATAGCGGTAGTTTGTGGTCAAACCGCGTCTAGTGTCTGCAGTTGGAAGCATGCAACTGGACAATTTAAACACGATACATGTAAAAAGTAACAATATAGAACAACTTAGCTCGGAAAGGGTTTAAGTTATTCCATAAGCTTTTAAAAAAGTCATAATCAGGTCGGTAAGTTTAGGTCAATTGCCAGTTAAGAACCCCAAAATAGGTACAGAGGTCAATTATTTATGCGTTTAAAGATACATGCGATTCAAAAACTCGGCAATCGTGCCCTCTGTAGTCAGATTCATTACACAGGATAAGTGACTGACTGGAAAGAAGCCGCGCTCCGGTGATTTGGACAGGAAGTGGCACTCGTCAGGGGCATAATAATTTACAATAGCAATTCAGAAAAATAAAAGCTCTTCCTATTACTAAATCCGTGACAAGCAAAACTTAAGAATAAAACTCCCCTAAAGTCATTGTACATCACACCACATCACTACCAAGCTGTACTGAGTTAAAAGAAGTTAATTATTACCATTAGTATTATTTTATAATATGCTGCTTATCTTATAAGCTTATTAGAAAAAAGTTTTTGATGTACGTGTACGAACAATGGTTACGCAAAGAAATTTATAGGAGTATAGAATCCAGAGATTGCTTGGCGTCAACATTTTCGGTCTATCTCACGCGCAGTTTTCCCACGTGAAACTTCTTTTTGATACGTTTCGAAAAAAAAAAACTGTTGGCTGTGTATCAAACGGATGACCACCAACGCGAAACAGAGATGTCTATCCCAAAACGCAACGCGTCTCAAAGAAGAATGCCCGGACGTGCTACCATCGCAAGGACCTTCGTTCCATCAAGCAGTTCGATAGAGCAATAGCACGTAATCTCTATATATATATATAGTTTCCCCAACATCGCTAATATGTGGCTAGCATTTTCATCTGATCTCCGTCGGTTCTCTATATCCTTCCATAGCATTGGCGTGTTCGCATTTGTAGGCTGCCGTATAAATACTTTGTTGAGTGTAAATTGTCACGCACTTGAAACGCCTTTAAGTTGATCTGGAGTTTTTTACTCTTGCTCAATTTACGAGCAAGAGTAAATAACTTCCACTATAACTAAAGCTTCCATGAAAACGCACCGCTGGAAAGATCTGCGTAAAAAAACATCTGCTCGGGTCAGAATGCGTGACTATGCAAAACCCCCAAAAATGATATTGCCTATTTTCTCAGCGTTTGATTTGCCTTGGGCTCATGTATCCTAGGGTTCTATTATTCGAATGGACTAACAATCTAACATTATTTATGTACCTCCGTACACGGTTTTCTGAATATACAATTAGCAGAGCAAAAAAACTCATTCTTTCGATTTCGCTTTAATGATTAAAGGATACTTCTACGTTAACGTACACCTGTATTGCTTGAAAATGTATTCCTTTACACATTGCCGAAGGCTAACACTTAGAAGGTAGCAAAATGACTTTTTTGTCTGCTGTAGCTTAAGTAATCATATCCAACAGATGCTGCACGTGTAAAATCGTTTAACTTAATTGGTAAGTTATTGAAGGACGTAAGTGTTCCTTTATAGCATAGTATTCGGTTATCCCATATGTTCGCAAAGTGTTTCGGGTCGATTTACTTTTGGCGTTACAAACGATGCTGGGTGAGCAAACGGAGCGGCGGCGGCTGATGTGAGGCCATCTTTGGCTTTTTTTTTGACATCGTCGTGGCTTAAATTGTACAGTTCATTGTTCAGGTGAATTGCACACACTTCCAAACGTGTATATGACATCGACTTTAAAATTTTGTCGCTGAAGAGGGCCAGAGTCGTGAGGAAATTTGCGATTTACCCAGGCCAAACACTATATCCGATCGTACGGCTTGGAAGGCGGAATTGGTTTGCTTATGTTCGAGGTGGCGACTTCAGTATCGAAGACAGGGCGTGCGCAGCTCGGCCCTCTGACTGTGAAGACACTGGAATCCTCATTTACATATGACTCTTGCCCAAATGATGAAAAACGATGACTGGATAACCTATGATAACGTCATTCAGAACAGATCATTGTCCAAGCGTCGTGCTGTCCTTTAAATGAGTGCTAGAGCCAAACCCTATTCAAAAACAGTGGTTACGTACATTTAATAGACAGTTCTTCAATAAGCTTCACTTATAACACCACCTCGATTAAATTCTCTAAACAGCTCGACCGTTCAAGCAAAACACTGAAACATGTCGTCCGGCTGCGGTTATTGGTTTCGATCTCGCTCTTTTTAACAGTCTCCTTTCCCAATGTATGGTAGAAACCCTTTAATAGGGAGAATTTTATACCTTTAGAAGAAAAAAAAGATCATAATGACCAATTTATCGTAACTAAAAATATTACCTCCTAGAAAAGTTGAGTTGAAAAGCTGCCCCAAGAATGGACAAAGGTCGTCCCTAAATCATTCATTGAAGTTGCATGGGGGAAAAATCGTGTTCATTGAAAGTTCTTTCGAGGATTTCTAGGGAAATCCAATAACTAACATTACCAAAATGTTGTTTACGATTATTCCCACATCCTTCTTTGATGTAGATCTTAATGCTCATTGTACAAGCGTTGTTTAAAAGCGATACGGTTCTAAATTGTACCCGCGGCGATACGGTAGTTTACGTCGTACGTATCATACTGAGCCAGGCGTCTTAGCGCGTCAGCAATCTACCACAATTTGTTCTCAGTCATCAACTGAACGATGTTAGATTGATCATTGGTTATAGCTTCGATTATTATGAGCTTCAAGGGACACACGTTACTGTCACGCGTTTGCCTACTGAACTTAGTTACAAGTAGTGATATTATATCGTCGGGAGACCACCGCGATAGATTTGCCACACTGATATCGATAGGAATCGTTTTTGGACCACTCGTTACTAGTGGAAGGTAAATTTGCGGAATGTACGATGGATGAACTGGCACCCCCAAGATGAAGTGGATTTATGATTATAATTTACTGCTACTATTTTATATAACGTCCGGAACAAATGATTCAGTCATCCACTAGCCGTTGTTGATCCGAGACGACAGATAGCTTTCATGTAATTGCGACGGAGCTTTACGCGCAAGATCGTCCGTGTCGCCATAGTATAGGTCATAACGATGTCATTGAAATACTTGTTTTTATGAGATCATTTTAAGACGAGCTGCCCTGCACTAGAAAATCCGTTCAAAAAACAAAGCAGAGTTTCATAAGCTACCGATGGAGATGATCTCTGATGCCTTACGAAAAATCGACTTTAGAACGCAATGCGCCGGCTGAAACGCCCAAGTCCGAGATATCGGTCTTCCATATTCTATGAACACGTCAAGCTTTCCAGCAACGTTTTGACTGATTCCTCTGTCAAGTGGTAGAGTATCTCAGAAATGAACGGTGAAGACAAAATATACACAAACGCATCCTCCTCTCACTGTGTCAAATTAGATATATCCGGAAATAGTTTCCGGAGCGGTTTCCCTTTAGCTTGAACTTCGTATTCCTTTGATGACCAACTGTCTACTGGTCAACTTACTTACCAGCTGAGGCATTGTTTTGTACTACACATATGTACCAGGAGTTGCCGTTTAAAATTTAATTACCAAGATACGCGAGCCGATTTTAAGGTCCTAAAAGGTTCAGAGCAGAGATCTAAATACACGAAAACGAACTTGCGGTAAATACACTTACATACCAATTTTGCATTCGTTTACGTTGTCCACACTTTCGAATTTCGACATCAAGCAATGCTGAGCTTAATTATGAATAAAATTGCAAATAGTTTATTTAGTATCTCAGTTCAGGCTCTGGGTTTCGTCCGTAGAAGTCAGCTATCGGATTGTTCTAGAAGCGGGTATTTCCTGATAGTGAAGTAGCTAGTCTAAACAGCTAAATTACAGTCGGTAACTAATGCAATTCCATGAACTATGCTGGTTAAGTTATGATCAAGGCACCATACGTTTACATTATGTCGACCGATTAATCAACCGCTTTCGCTTAAAAGCTCAGAGCACTCGTCGATAATGTTGAACTGCTCCATTACGAGGCTCGGTTACGGGTTCATAACTCCGATAGCGAAGCTACTGGGACCTCGTCGAAGGCGTCCTTATGGCCGCATCAAAAGCACCCATATAACTATGGGCGCTTAAAGGCTTGCGAACGGGCCGTCACTGTGCGTATTTATTCCCGTACATGTCAAAAACTACAAAAATAACTAGTCACAGGGCAACAGTGCACTCAACAGTGGAAGTAAGCAGAATAACGTTACATATGTACGGGGGTTCATTGTATTCAGCAGAAGGAAACGGGGTGTTGGCATACAGAAATTAAAAGTATGATAAAGAAAATTTGACATTACGAACTGTAAGCGACTTCTGGCATTTTCTCCCGCGTTATAAGGGGGCAGCCTGTTCGTTGGGGTGCCACGGCGGTTGCTTAAGGACGAGATGCAATACAAGTGCAAACACAATCTGTAATTTTCAAATAAATTGATAAAGCAACACATTCGTGTTGAATATTTATTAGCACCTCTGTGTAAATTTGAGTTAAACTTAAGTTAATGGAGGAGAAGCAAAAGTTCCAAGCCGACACAGTCTTACCGGTTTAAAATGAAGACTATATTCGACAATCGTAATAAGTACGAAGAATCATAGAACAAGTACTCTTTAACATTGAGCTGATCGTTATGCTTGCTATTGGCTAAATGCCTGTGTACAACATGCGCAGTGCAGAGCGCGCCATAAAAAGCAGGTGCATAGAAATTACTGATGGTCTCGGCAAGCGAATTTCGATAGGACCGACTTCTCAAACATAAATATCAAGGTTACCATATTTATCAAATAAATAAATTGCATAGGTTTGAGGTTAGGGCCTAAAAAATCGACACAACTCGCTTCTTGCTGAAACTTTTGCAGTGGTTACCACCGTTGCCTGCCCGAGCCAGCGAAGGATGTGCGGATCTTGAAGGAAAAATCATTCATCTACGTTAAGTACCTACCACGATGGTAATCAGTATCGCAGAGGGAGGTTTGAATCCATAGCTAGACAGACATCTTTGTATCTGTACGAAGCAATATGATAAGTTCGGGACTTACCTTGTTCAATCAAATTTGGGCTTATTCGCCAACTAGCTTACCACCTTATATTTACAAACCGGGTTCTATGTGATGTACACGCCGTTGCGTTAACTGGAATTTAACACATACACACAAATTGTATGAACTTGAAGCGCCAGTATTACTTACGCGACTATTACTAATGTTGCAGGAAAATCGAATGGGCCCTTGATCAATGGTCGTCGTAGAAGGCTATCTTCTGGTATCGTATAATCGGAATGAATTGGTTCTACAGTTAGAATGAAACCGTCACACAAAGTTTGTGGTGTGTCTTGTATAACCAATAGGTAGGCTGCAGCTGCTATGCGCCTGGTCTTAGAAAGGTAAACTTTCCGACCTATTTATGAAGCTGATGAAGAGTTTAGGGCACGACTTCTCACTAGAATTGTCCCTTTAGAGTGTTCAAAAGCATCAAAACCACTAGTTTGAAGAGACGGAAAGATTATCTAAGCTAATCAGCCAACGGATTTCCCCGTGAGTCTGATATTCCTTTACGTGCACGTAAATAGCTCGCATGTTCGCCGTATTTTTTCACGAACTGATAGTCGTTTTAATAAAATCATATAGATCAGTTCATACTTATATATATCGTGAAACCGTACATCGGTAATTAAGGGTGTAGCGAATAGATCTACGTTTAAACACGATACAATCGAATGACATTGTCAAGTACTCGTGTGGACAAATGACGTTCGAAGAGGCGTACATTCTAACCAAAACTGATTAAGATAATAATAAGAAACTCGCCCGAACAACAAATTGTTATTTCGGATGCGTGATTGACTCCCGAATAGCTGACATCGTAAAAAACGGTAATGGAAGTGGCTCCGCTGGCCAGGACCCCACTTGGTCAGTTAGTCGCGAACGAACGCCACAGTATTGTTACTCGTGTATTCAAAATGTAAAATTCATTGCATTTTATGGATCCCAACCAATTTTTCCTGAAGTCTGAGCGTTGCATTCTCTCCCCACGAAACATTTGATCTCTATTCAGTACTTTCTAACAGGTTAAGCGCTGTGGGCACGCTCGGGTTCGATCCCAGATCAGTCTGTACCCGCAGATATCTTTGCTGGTTAAATATGTTGTGAAACTCCTTAATTACTCTGAACTGGGCCTTCAACTTAACAGTTTAGAGTTTAACATTGGGCAACGCGTACGAGTCCATTCTAATCTTTCCCAGACTCCTTAAAACTCCTTCATTAGCAATCACGACCCGTTGTTGTCTATTTGGTTTTGTGCTGGCTGCGAAATTCGTTCGACGGATGAATATTTCTTGGTTAAATTTTTATGGGCAGCACAGCCTTCCAGTCGTATAGGTCCAGACATTCGATGTTTCTAATGATCAGTGCGTTTCCTTTTAACTATCTGAATACGGACAGTTGTTTTTTTCTCAGTTTCAGAGTTTTCAGAACGGAAATGGCTGATTATCGATGAGAATTTGCTTTATGCGAGGACAGTCCTCTTCAGATGCAAAATCGAACATTGATAGGATTCGCTTTGCTATTACTTTGGTCTTTGCAAGCTGCTCCGCTACACAGTTAGTATGAAACTTACTTAACATCTCCATAGTTGACGTATCGTTCTATAGATGCCGTCAAAAGAACGACAATCGCAGCGTGCACAAGCGCTTAAATACTGTAGGATTCTCTACGAACCAACGACAATAAATGTCGAAATTTCAATCTATCGCTATGCAGTATTTTTTAAATTTTAAATACATTTTTAAACCTATAATGGCGTAGTGTCCGCTAGCCAGGGAGCGGATGGTTACGTTTGAATATTGTTAAGAACAACTTGTTAATTTAGGTTTCACAAACCGGCCACGAGTTGACGACACAATGGAACTTAGGTCCTGTCAGCTCAAATAGTAGATTTGAATTGTACCTCTTGAATTGGACCATTACTTTTCGTCAGGCGATACCGACCTTTAACGCGATCACGTTCAAAGATACAGCAAATACGTAATGGCTGAAGTTGTCGCCCACTTAACTCGATTTAACAATCCGCAGATAAAAATGATTTAAGGGCTATTTTTAGATATATCTCAAGCAGTGTTTCGCAGCGTCACCACATTCACGGTAACGATTATGAACATGGTTAATGATCTACGTATATTTGAACTTATTTACTTTAATTCTGGTGAAACGTATGTCTCATTTAGCCGGCCAGCGATCGTGCTGATAACTTAAGTCACGCGTTGGCCTAGCAGTGGAACTACTTAGACACCCCAACTTTTAAGAACATTTTCAGTGATACTTTCGTGTGAAGAATGTCTCGTTTTACCGACAATTCTTACAACCTCTACGAGGCGCACAACTGTGAAAAATAGATCGGTACCTAGACACTACTGATAATATCTAGAATGATACGTTTTTTTTTTGTTGTTTAGTAACACGTAGGTTCTAGATATTAGGTTCCAACATAAGTTATTTCGGTTTTTGTCAATTGCCTCCCCTCCTCAGATATTGCCTGCTGAAAATAGTTTCGTTTTCTTACAAACCTATGGTGAACGTATTCCGCCTCAGGTAGAACACTTCAGATGAGCTATGTTAGCTGAGCGTCAAGAAACAACAAGTCTGACCGTACTTTTCTATCTGGAATATGCTAGGCTGGATACAGTTGCTGTAGCACTTCGAAAAAGTTGAGTCCCTCATCGTTGTCGCACCCTATTGATGAGTGTATTCCGTTGATGTTCCCGTTAATTCGTACGCGTGGTAGTGAATAAGAGGTACACAATGGCTAGAGTCCATATAATAATTTTAGGAATATCCAACTTCCGCCGAAGTTAGTTAACACGAGGCAATAACAAATCGTGTTAATGAGCAACTGCGTGGTCTAACGTTGTCTACTGACACTTGTTAATTAGTACTGATAGCTGTAGAGTACTTTTTGTCTACTACACGTAATAGCTTGTACTCCGTTGTGCGGTACTACTGAAGTTTTAAAAAAACCGCTGTGGATCGAGAATATCTGTGTATTCTGTCTAGAACAAGTGAAGTATGACATACTTTCGGAACCTGAGCAGCGCTATCACCGGCCTGTACGACCGTACGGTTGGAAGACTGCTTAGAGGCGGCAGTGAACAATTCCATGTAGCTGCGTTTAAGACAGATCCAACAGTCCGTCAACAACCAAGCAGCTCTTATCTGGTCGGGCATAGTGAAGACGAGATAGTAGTCAAACGTCGAACGATAGATCATTTGTTCAAAATCGACCCTCAAGGCCTGGAAAGAAGGAGGCCCCTTGCTGATCCGAGTCCGTTACGGTTTCCAGAGACCGAAAGAGGGGCAAATACAGAACAAGAAATCTCTGCTTTCATCCAGTTGTTTCCTCATATCGTCAAAGAGCTGGTGTGGCTTCACTATGTTGAATATTGGCAGAGCATTAAGGTACGTAATATTCATAGTATAAGTTGTGAATGCGAAATTATGAGGGCCGGAATTTAGTGTGTACAAAAAATACACTTGAACTTTTTAACCTTTATACAGGTAGAGTGCAAATTAGTCAATTTGATAGTTTTTCTCCAAGCTTCCTAAAATGGCGATGCAAGAGACCTAACGGCGGAACGCGAATTGTCAGGAAATCGCATCGGGTGCATTAATTTACAGTACATAGTACTGCGTGTTGATTTGGATGGAAATACACGATTTTCGCAGTTCTTAATTTGCTGAGTTTAATAAAATTGGTACGTCCGATAGGTTTAACAATGGTAAAACAAGTTCGCCAATGCAGCCAAAGAATAAAACAGTTTTAGTAAGATACAGAACTCGACTTTGCCTACCCCCCAATGATGTAACCATATGACCTCAATGACGTAACTATTTTCACAGGAGAAACCAATATTCGAGAAACTCTACACGGAGATCTTGCCCAACAAGGCCTTTAATTTTCGAAATCAGGCATATAGGCTTGAGGTGGTACAGGCTTTGCAGGATATTCCTGCGGGCTGCTTCTTAGTATCGTCAGTGTTGGATTTATTCAAGTCCCTTGTGGCAAATTTGCGTTTCCGTATTTGTGGGGCACAAGCCGACGGTCGTGAGTTAGCGTCTTCAGATTACAAAGCCATTTTGACTGTCGTATTCGATGGAGATGAAAGGTTCGTAATAAAAAGCGACGGATGGTCAGAGAGCCTAGAAAAGAAATGGGTGTATGGGCTCCCTCAAAAACTAGTTGCAGAAATTGAATATGGGCCGAATAAGTATAAAATGGAGGTTAGCGAAGCGCAGCGTATCGAGTACCTAGACGTATTTCGCATCATATTAAATGGTAGAGAAGAGAGTTGTGAGGTCGAGGCAGCCAGTGAAGCCCCGCCACAACAAATTATCGCCGTTGATTGTCCAGGTCAGGTTCCTAAACAGTGGTCAGTCGCTGTTGACGTTAAATGTGAACTGATCGAGAAACCCGTGACCTGCACGGTAGAAGACATACCTGAAGCCTCTGCACCACAGATAGAAGTACCGCAGGTTGCCAAACCAATACAAGAATATTTGACCTCTAAGCCCAGTAGTGAGACAGATGAGCTTTCGTTGGTGAGTAAGATCATAAGTAGGATCTGGATTCTTGCGCCAGTAGGACACATGTAATGAGAATGCTGTATAATATCATGGCAAATATTCAATGAGATTTAACGAGGAACCTAACTTCGCTTCTACATTTCTGGATAATTGCTAAGGAAAAAAGGACCATTAATCTATCGCTTAATGTAACTGTAAACTAGCTATAATAGCACAGAAAATGACAGTTGAAAAATATATATGCAAGGTTGTCTAAAAAAAACGGCGAATTTGTTCTTTACATATAGAGAACGTTTGGTTTTACAGAAGAACCCTCGCCATTCGACAGTCCACGGTTTCGAGTAAGAAGCTGGTCCAATACACTCAGCGTAATAGATGTGTAGGTGTTTGCGAGAAACTTGAAAGAGGCGTAGGTTCAAAACAAAGCGTAGGCAAATCGAGCTTTTGCTGGGAGGGTCCAGACATCTGAAGTTATTGCTTAAGAGCCTACCTAACGTACAACTGAAAATAATAATTTTTTAAGTAGGGTATGTATGTATGGGTAGAAAACAAGCATGAGTACTATTACGTTGTTTCGAGATAGTAGGTCCACTGATCGCATTTTTAAAAATTAAGCCACCTGTCAAACGGAAGTTCAGAGAGTGACTATTGAAGCACCTAGTCCTGAAACAGTTCGACAGACATTTGAAGACTATTTGATGTCATCCCCGATACATTTTTGCCTAAAGCACTCGTTTTGTAATGTCTCAAAAATATACAGCTACATGATGAGAATGTACTTTCGGGTCAATATAAATGTGAATTACAATTAGTTATAGTCACTGTGTCCTTTGCCTGCGAGACATGCTTTTAGGGCAAGGACCTGCATTAACAATCTGCTCAGACATAGCCCAGGTGGGCACGGTTCTAATTAGCTATAACCAATCTAGTGTAAAGAAAGGACATCATAAAATCAATGTAGAAAAAGAGCTAACGATAACCTCGAGGTATCGAGGCATTGAAGTATTCACTGTAGCGTGCAAAAAAGAAGCATGGTATGCTTCCTGTGAAGTGAAAGTGAACGCGCTTAAAGTTGCCGTTTAAAAACAGCGCAGTGTTCAAGGCGTGGCAAATGGCGCGAAGACGGGGTTATGCCCAAACGTGTGGACATGGCCTACATGAATCTGGCAGGTCGCTCTGGATGCGCTTTTAGCTTAAACGGTTGGGGAATATTTCGAAACCAATCACGCTATACCTCAACAAAAAGCTACCTCGATTAGCTGATGCTCAGCGGAAGGTATCTGTTCGGATGATTTTAGAGGATGCTTGGCGAACTCTTTGCCGCTGGTAGTAAACACGAAGCATTCGACGTAATTTGAAGAAAATTATTCAACCTGATGATTCAGATGATTGAATGATTCAGGCTTGAACATTGAACCTAAATGATGGTTTAATCAAAATGTGCATTAGGCTGTAATTAGATTCATTCTATGCCGATAGTGATACGTTATTAGGTACTTACGCGTTTGGGTATCATACGTTTATTGCTATCACTGTTTTTAATTTTATTTGGATTATTTAGTTCAGCTATACATACGTATAGAGGTTTCAGGTTGTCCTACATCGAGTGTCTTAGCGGCTTCAAAAGCGTCTCCTTTTTTATGCTTTCACAGCTCATAGATAATTTGATCTCGAGTAAAGCAGTATGAGTGAGCACCTTCTTTGCTCGTCTAACTTCTTGCTTGCAGTCAATCTTCAGCTGTATGCACACGATGACAGGCTGTGATATACTAAATTTTATTATTCATTGCTTTTGCAACAAACAAAGTCATCTCCTTTCGGTAGCTCCCGTCAAAAATTACTATCTCGTCACTGTTCATAATAACAAATATTATCACGTCACCACATTCGGCGTGCGCTTGGAGCTAAACGAGAGGCGGTGGAGTTGGTTTTAAATTAGGTCGGCGATTAGTGTAAAAGCAGGTTGCCGGTCCACTGTTGAATTAATCGGAGTAGGTACTCTGAAGACCCGCTTGTAGCCTGCTTACATACAATTTTTGGGCTTTGCCCATCTTTACCCGTCGCAGACTCTCACGTCTGTCTCCCCCCTCGTTTCACAAGGGTAGTCAGTCACGGTGTGATCATTAGCTGACAAAAGCTAACTTAATTTGGTGACAGGGCCGAAAGCTCGCGTCGCCTCTTTACGATGGTTTCCCGTATTGTCTACTGTTGAGAACACCACAAGCAAATCTCATTACCAGTGCACGCTCCTCGACAAGGCGAACGGTCTGAGTGTACGTCCCAACAACGTTAGCTCTAGTAGCAACAGCGGCGACAACAACGCCTAGCTAAGGCTAAAGATTAGAAAGCGGAGGTTCAGCCGGAACGGATCAGGTGGTTTGTGTGTCTTTTTGTGTCTAGCAATGGGAAGAACACCGACCACCGCAATACTACAATGTTCGTTAGCTTTTCCAGCACTGTCCAACGTTACGATTCGACGGGTGCCTTTTTCTCCCGTCGTACTCCTGCCTTTTCCTCTCTTCCCATGTCCAAGCCCTCCTTTCCGCAAATACGTCCCTGTTCCGAAAGAACAGCCCATCAGTACTCAAAGACGCACTCGGTTGCTGACAGGCAGTTGCGGCCACTACTCGAGGGGATGTCAGAGGCTCACGAATGAGTTCAGGGTCTTGGCAAACAGCTCGGAGTCACCGAAGCTGTCGAGGGAGATGCGGTGACAAAGCGTTGTCGTGCTGATTACCAACAAGAGAGCGATCGCGTTTAGTCCAATTGTCAAATATACTGCAGTACGAACCGTTGGGGCTGGACAGTTGCTGAAGGATAGGGTTTAGGGGGCGGCACAGAAGAAAGATGACCCGAGTAGGGAACAGAATTATTCACTGAATACGATTAGGTAGAACATAACGAAAAAGCCAAATTGCAGGTGCAAAGGTGATATACATTGTGTGCACAAATACGTATAGGGTTCTGTGTTGAATGATAGTTTTTTTTTTATAATCGATAATGATATTGCGTCGAGTTCTACTCGGTAAATCAGTACTTAGCTTGTGCCATGTTACATTACTTCTTTTGTAGGGCTTCCATAACTATGTTCCCAGGCTTTTTAGGACTTCTGGGTGCAGCTTTTCGTCGACATCTAGCGCTATGCCTTGGGTGTATTCTGTAGGACTTTCCAATATGAATTTCCTTCGGCTTCTGCTATGAGCAAGCTTGCCGTATTGTACTCGAAGATCTCACCTTGTCTACTGGTACTTACAATTAAGTGTTGATTTTGGTCTTTCGTTAATCAACAAAGCGCCACGGATTGACAATCACAAGTACGGTAAGTGCTTAAATACTATTAGTGACAAATGCATTTCGTATAGTTTCTAGGGATAGTTTATCCAAGCAGTGATAGCATTTTTCTTCTTTAACCGAAGCCTGCAATTTTGGATTGACTTTCACCCTTCGCCCTGCCGTCAACGTATCCCCGATATAACCAATCAAATTTGCTATTTTCATTATTGATGGCTATATGATCCACATATATCTGACCAACTTATTCATTGACATGTAGGAACGTGTCACAATGTATGAGCTCTACAGCTTTCTACTCTCGTGTAATAATGAGTACGGTAAAAATGCTTATGTAAATTAATCAGTGCCTACGCGGGCGTGTTTGGTTACGCTCGGACGTGAAGGTTGCATTTTAATTACAGGACTTCATTAACGGGTCTCAACGTTTGTTATTGTGTAAATAGCAAAAGTTCTGCTGATGGTTTGGTGTCGCTCGTGAAGCTACATCGCGTTGCGTACGATCATCCCATTAATACAAGCAGCTAAAGAATACGAAGTTACGAGTCGTCACCGGCCCCGAGGATTTCCGTAATGTGGCATCTCATAATGATCTATCGGCGTCGTCGTCATGGACACTCGACGTGCCATAAACAACATGGCTGTATCACCATTTCGGCATAGTGTCGTCACAACAATGCATGTTTGTGTAAGTGTGAAGCGGAATGATATATAAACAGTTGGCTTACCTTATTCAGTACGGCATGACTAAGACGTGTTAATGAGATTTTACCAGAACGAACTTCTAACTATACCCTGTAAACATAGCACAGATCAATGTTTTTTTTTGTGCGCGTTCTCTTATAACGCTTGCTTTTGTGTCCGCTGTGCTGCGGGCTAATTGCGGCAGTAAGCCCATTCACAAGGCGGGCCTGTTTGCCTGAATCTTTACGTGAAGAACCCATATCATTAGATATTGTTTCTAAGATCTTACCTAAACAAAAACAGATACTTTACCGAACATGTTTTTCGTGAGCTAAAAGCATTAATCCTGATGGGAACGTTCTTTTTTCAGTGTAATCTGTTTACTCGATGTATAAGTTCAAATCGGAACTTAACCTGCTCACTAGTCACTTCGAAAATACTCCCACTCTAAGCAGTTATTTATCTATTTGCAAGCATGAGCCAAACGAAGTATTTGTAATTGTAGAAACGCTCAAATGTTACTCAACTGTGTTATACACAAAAAAAAATGTAACCGAATTAAATTTCCGGCTGATCGCAGGCCAAAGGTCCCAAAAACACATGGGTTCGAAACGACCGGAAAGGCTAAAATATGAAAACAGGTTTGAAAAAACTACCCGTAGGAGCTTATTTGCACCACCTAGTTGACGGGAGCTCCTCTCGATAGAGACTGCTAATTTCTATATAAAAACCTAGATTATCAAAAATGACTCATTGAAAGGATTTTAGAGCCCTCCTGGAAATTTGTTGAGAATCTTCCGGCTTGCCGCATTGAAATCTTCCTTGGATTTTTCGGAAGCCGCGTGAAAACTGGCCGTAATAAAGAGTGTCAACTTTGAGCAAAAAAATATGCCTTTAATCTTATTGGAGATCCGCTCAGCGCGAACAAATTGTATACTACCAGTTGATGCTTGCTCACATTTCGAAGACGGACCTCCTGCCTTTTTCATGACAGGCGTGACTTGATTCCAGAATGAACTGCCTTTCCCTTAGTATAAAGAAAAAATAACTGATGACCGGAGGCCCAATATTACAAACAGTCCGACGAAGTTTTAATCGAATTTACTTCATTGGATATATATATGATTATGAGTAGCGGCCAGTCTCTTCCAATCGATGCTACTGTCGAGTCTTATATGGTTGAATAAATCTTGTCTTACCCTGGCGTTTTCACTTTGTCATTACGCTACTAAGAGTTCGTTGATTAATTCTACGAGGCGTTATACCTCACATACACCTACTTCAATTTCCAGTTACTTAAA